AAAAAAAAAAAAAAAAAAGAAAAGAAAGAAATTACTGTTTAAAATGGAAATGAGCCAGGCACATTTCCCTCATGTCTGTAATCCCTAGCACTCTGGGAGGCCAAGGCAGGTGGATTGCTTGAGCTCAGGAGTTCAAGACCAGTCTGAGCAAGAATGAGACCCTGTCTACTAAAAATAGAAGAACTAAAAGCAGAGTATGAATGTCTTAATAACTAAGAACATGACATGAAGGCTACATTAACCAGTTTGATGAGAGTATTTCAAATTGTATATGAAAACACCACACTGTACCCTGTGATTGCATTAATGTCCACAGCTATGATTTAGTAAAAAAAGAAGAACTGAAGCAAGAGAAAGCTATAGGTCATGAAGCTTGGTGATTCACCCAAAATTGCACACATAAAGAGTGGCAGAGCTGGGCGGTGCCTGTGGCTCAGTGAGTAGGGCCCCAGCCCCGTATACTGAGAGTAGCAGGTTTGAGCCCAGCCCTGGCCAAACTGCAACAAAAAAATAGTGGGACGTTGTGGCTGGTGTGTGTAGTCCCAGCTACTCAGGAGGCTGAGGCAAGAAAAGTGCCTAAGCCCAAGAACTGGAGGTTGCTGTGAGCTGTGACACCACAGCACTCTACCAAGGATGACAACCTAAGACTCTGTCTCTAAAAATAAAAAGAGTGGCAGAGCTGATAGTCTAGCTAGAGCCCATGTGCTTCATGTGCTACAATCCAGTTAATAGCTCCCATTTACTCTAGAGCCATGAAATTTTCATGATCTTATCTACCTCAGTCATACGAGGTGGACAAATTCAGTTCACAACTCATCCTAGAAAAAGTGCAACCTACTTCATTGCTGAATATCAGTATGGTCACCTTCAAAGTACTCCCCTGGGCCATCTGGTGACTATAGTGCTATTCAGCAATGAGGTATGTAGCACTTTTCCTGGGATGAGTTCATGAAGGCAATTGTCCAACCTTATAGTTATTAGTTGCAAATTAGTTGCATTGTTCCTGTTGTTCCAGGAACAATGCTTACAACCACACTGAAGAACTGCCTTAGTGTGACAACCACCACTGCTGTGGTTACCACACTCATGAAGCCAGAAACTTGGCTGCCACTGCCATGAGCACTGATGACTCTCCTATGCCAGGAGCTCCACCTGGCAGCCACAGCCTTTCTGCACCAGTGAAGCAGAGCCTCCACAAAGAGCCAGGGTATTGCTTCCCTTGCCTCTTACTGAACCCATGTCTCCCAAGGACAAGTCTCAGTGGCACAGCCTAGGTCACATGCCCATTTCTGTGCATATGGAAGACAATTAGGAATTTTCTTTCCTGCCAAGACCAACTTCAAAAGTCTGAGTTCTTATGCAAGGAACCACATCTTCTCCAGATGAATGATGCCCACCACGCTCAACATGGGCCATGTGAAAGATGACAGGCAGCCAGGAGTCCACCACATCATTTAAGCCAGTGGTTCTCAACCTTTTTTTTTTTTTTGGATAAACAAGTTTATTCATAAGTTTAGTCAATGTATATAATTGACCTAAAAACTTCAATAGAAGGATAAAATTTTAAAACCCCTTGGAAGGCCATCTCTGTTAAGTGATTTTCCCAGGACAGTAACCAGATGTAACCTAATCCAACACCATCTTAACCAGCAGAGGTTGAATGAGCTGGAGCTGTGTGCTCCTCCCCGACAGTGGTTATAATACAAACTCCACAAGGAAAGGAACTTAGGGATCATGTCCTCATGCAGAGGAGCAAAACTCAACCTAGTTATGAGACCAACCACAACACAATGAAAAGCTGCACTAACTAGTTCTTCAAAATAATAACAGATGAAGCTGGTGTGAATAACTTGTATTTTATTCTAGAGCCTTTATAAATAAAATCCCCCAATTAGTGTTTGCATCATCAGCTAGAGGGTTAACACACGGTGGTATGAGGACTTATGCAAGGTACAATGCGCATAGCACTTTACTACTATGAAAACAAGTGCAGTCAAGTTAGGAGAAAACCAAACGGACTCTAAATTACACACACCTTAATGACAGACTTCCCACCACTTGTGAATGTAAAACATTTAATTTTAAAATGTTGACACTACAATATATAAAATAGCTATTATAAATGCACATAGTATATTCTATAGCTGCCAGGTTTACTTTTTTTTTCTTTTAAGGAAACTGTAAGTTACACTGTGGTTAAGACTTGTGTCTTCACCCTTGAAAAAGCCCACATTCCATCACAGTGATGTATGGTCAGCCTTAACAGCCCCAATTGTTAAACACTTGGATCGAGTCATAACTAGTTTTATTGCAAAAGGACCCTGTACACATTTATCAATTCTAGTACCTTAATAGCTACCCAACAAGTCATTAACATACAGAAACATGCATCCTGAGAAACAAGAAACATCACCCATCCCTTCTGCTCTTAGCAACTTGTCACTCCTGAGCAACAGTGCTCACATCGCCGAGGTCTGTGAACAGTCATTTTTCGCATTCATCCTGAGTGAACGATGGAATGACTTAAGTACAAATGCAACATATTATAAACAGTTTCTTACCAAAAAAAGTCACAAATTAAACCAAAGTATTTTACAGAATTTACTACAAAACGCCATAAAAACTGCCTTGACTTAAGATCTGTCTCCCCGTATCCGGCGAGCCAGCTGGATGTCCCTGGGCATGATGGTGACCCTCTTCGCGTGGATGGCACACAGGTTGGTATCTTCAAACAGACCCACCAGGTACGCTTCACTCGCCTCCTGCAGCGCACCAATGGCCGCACTCTGAAACCTCAAGTCGCTTTTGAAATCCTGGGCGATCTCCCTCACCAGCCTCTGGAAAGGCAGCTTCCCGATGAGCAGCTCAGTCGTTTTCTGATAACGACGAATCTGTCTGAGCGCCACGGTGCCGGGCCTGTAGCGATGAGGTTTCTTCATCCCGCGGGTACAGGGAGCGCTCTTCCTGGCAGCTTTGGTGGGCAGCTGTTTGCGGGGGGCTTTCCCACCAGTGGATTTACGAGCGGTCTGCTTGGTTCGAGCCATTTTCTTTTACCCAACGCCGAAGTTTTAGGCCACTTCTCAGAGCGCCGCGCGGCTTCTGGTGCCCGATGAAGAGCCGCGCTCGCCGAGCAAAGATGATTCCCCAACGACCGACCAAACCGCTCTGCGCTCGTTCTCAACCTTCCTAATGTTGTGACCCTTTAATACCAGTTCCTCATGTTGTGGTGACCCCCAACCATAAAATTATTTTCATTGCTACTTCATGTGTACAAAAATATGTGTTTTTCAAAAAATATGTGTTTTCCGATGGTCTTAGGCGACCCCTGTGAAAGGGGTCGTTTAACCCCCAAAGTGGTCTCAAACTGCTGATTTAAGCAGAGCTGAGAATCTTGTGATTCAACAGGGCAAATGGTGGCTGAGCAGATGAGTTGGGAGAATGAGGCCATGAATCAGGCATATCCACAGGGGACATGTAGACCCAGCTATAAATAATGCCAAAGCATGGCCCGGTGTGATGGATCATGCCTATAATCCTAGCACTCTAGGAGGCCCAGGCAAGACGATTTCTTGAGGTCAGGAGTTTGAGGCCAGCCTGACCAAAAGTGAGACCCTGTCTCTACTAAAAATAGAAAAATTATCTGGGCATTGTGGTGGGCACCTGGAGTGCCAGCTACTGGGGAGGCTGAGGTAGGAGGATTGCTTGAACCAAAGAGTTTGAGGTTGCTGTCAGCTAGCCTAAGGCCACAGCACTGTAGCCTAGGGGAGCAGAGGGAGATTCTAATGATGATGATGGTGATGATGATGATGCTAAAGCAGAGTCACCGCCAGACCAAGGGCTCCTTGCTAGAAGGTCGTTATGGGCAGGGGCACGGGTGTTTTCTTTACATTTATACACTAGGTAGGACCTCCTCCTTTCAAGTGAGTAGGCCTCACTGGTAACAATGTTAAACTTACTGGGGTCCATGTGTATTCAGATATATCTGACTGCTGAGATTTTCCGGTAGGTCTGTTTCCTCTTACAGGGGATTTGGGGGACAGAAGCACACATGTCAACCATCTAGGGGAAGATGTGAGTCTTAGTAGCAAGGCAAATCTCTGTATCCCTGGGCCTTCCTTTCTAGGGTCTAGATTTGGGAGAGTAGAGGCATACTTGGGGACTCCACTCCAGGGTAGGAGAATGGGTGGATTCTGCCACTTCACAGCAAGCTAGGAACTGGAGTCAGGGGCCAACTAGAGAAGGGCCACAGGCCAAGTTATTCCATCCTAGGGACTATCTTCCTTCCCTGTGCTACCCTTGAGCCTTTGAGAAATGGAGGCTCTAATCTGGTCTCAGCCAGACAAGGCGCATTATGGCATTTGTGGGTCTGCCCTTAGGGGATAGCAGTAGAAGAGCCCAGTGTCCCTTGCCTGGAGCCATGATGGTGGTGGCAGTAGTAACTCCAAGCTATGTAATATCTGAGGGGACTACCTCTGAGGCTTAGGAGTCCTAAAAAAAAAAAAATGAGGGGACTATACTAGATTATCCAAGTTAACCTGATGGAGAAAAAAAAAAA